AATTTATTAATTGTAAGAAATGGCATATATCTACTTTTTTCCTGTTGTTTTTTTCTTTTTATCAGCCACTACACTATTGAAAATTGTACTCAATCTGGTTGGCGAAAAAGTGTGTTATTACATTTTGCGTTCCTACTTTTTGCTTAATCTCGACGCAAAATGTAACAACGCAATATGTAATAATCCAAATATCGTGTTATTACATTTTGCGTTATTACATTTTGCGTTGATATCGACGCAAAATGTAATAGCGCAAAATGTAATAATCCTCAAAAGTGTGTTGTTACATTTCGCGTTATTACATTCTGCGTTGATTTCGACGCAAAATGTAATAACGCGAAATGTAATTATACAGGTTTATTACATTTCGCGTTGTTATTACATTTCGCGTTGTAACAATGCACACTGACCACCTATTTTCTCTGCGATTTCGAATCATACTATATGAGTACTTATCCAAAGTATACTCCTTGATTTCACGAATTTCTCCAGTGACATACCTTGAACAAATCAAATGAAATATTAAACAGGAAGAAGGTCTTTAAAATTGCAAAAATACCTATATATAAATTGGTGATATAAAAATAATGTTATGAATTATTTAAAGAAAAAGCTCTTTTTTTTGTTTAAAGTCATTTTTCAAGTCTCTTATTTCATACAATGACCTTATAACCAAAATACAACCTATTATTAAGTCAAATGCCAAAAACCGACGTTGTATGCCATTACGTATACATGGAATTGCCGAGAGATTTTTCCGTTGTTTCATGATCATTACATGGGGCATTCGGTTGGTGTGACCGGTGGGCAGGGGATACTCATTTCTCTATTGCACCTTATCCCACTTCTAATGTTTTAGAGGTCCCTCTCTGCTCCTGATGTGTACTGTTTAATAGACTTTTGACCTTAAAAACTGTTATTTCCATATTATTTCGAAACCAGTGATTTGACACTCCGCAAATTAACTATTAATTTCGGAATATTTAAAGATTTCGAGGGCCTGAAAAGGAAAGCATAACAAAAGCAATTAAAAAATGGTGTAAAATGGTGGTTGACGATGTATTTATTTCTATTTTCGTGTGTCAAATGTCTTATTATCCTTGACATAAAATCAAAATGCTTTGACTTTGATATTGTATATATGTGAACCGATAAGTAAAGAATAAGATGAATCCTACACATTGATCCTTTTTTTAAATCATCCGAGTAACCGGGTACTCGCAATCGGACGATAAAGCGAGTGACCGATTACTAAAATCGTCCAAATTGCCAACACTAGTAAAAACAGCTCTAAGAAAATTACTAAAAATTTCGAATAGCATTTTCTATGTTGTACGTTGTTTTCATGTTAAATATCATGTTACTTATTTCCTATAGAACACTATGGAAAACCCTTTTACAATTTATTTTTTCAATAGAAGATATAGCTATCACAGAGAGATATCTCCTTAGCTTCTAGAGATATATCTTTGACTAATAGAGATACCGTTATACCTTAGAGAGATCTTCAGACTGAAGAGAATTCTCTTTTACTTAGTGCGATATCTTTATAAGCTATATATACAAATATCAATTTAAGCGAGAGAGATATGTCTTTAAGCATCCCGCCAAAAATACACGCTATACGATATTTTTGGTATATCTATCATGTTTTTTTTAGTACTACAGAAGAACATGATTATTTTTTTTTGTTTTACGTCCCTCACTATAATTTTCACTCATATGGATCCAAGATTAGTTACAAAAAACGTGTGATGTTTAACTCGTAGAGACGTGGTTACTTGTACAACTTTTAAAGCATAAATTTATATATATTCAAACTTTCATTTTTAATTATCACGAAAGGTGAAAAATGACTTGCCTCTTTCATTCTTGTGTCCAGCGAGATCTAGAACATGAATAAATGTGCAAACCAAGCAAGGGGCCCTAATTATAGTAAATAACAGTGGTTGCAAGATAAATTCGTTTAAACCCATGGACAGGTCTCCAGGTTTCGCATTCGGATTCCAACTGGCGACGTTAAGATCAACTCTTCACCCTAGAGCTAACCAGCTATACACTGCACCAACTGGCTGACAAGCTATACCAAGTTAGTACAGGTTCAAGTCGGTTCAAATCATTACCCGGTTGAGTAGGCTGGAAAACAGTATGAAATCAAAGTTTTATATGAGGCAATTTAGGGGGGAAATATAGACAAATATTTTTTAATGATAGCAAAATATTCTTTTCAATAACTACAGAGTCATGATTAATCAAACTGATTTGAGAACATCTTCAGATAGTACAGAAAAAGTTTTTGAAATCATGACCCTGGGGGTGGAGCAACAAATTTTCTGATAACAATACCGTAGTTATGATGACTCAGGAGAGCGTTTGCATGGTCCAAGGGCGTCAACGTGCTTTTTTACAGTAGTAGACCAGTACTGTCTTTAGACAATTTTACTATCATGCAACCAATGCTATCCAAATTTTGTCATAATATATTCAATGTTCTTTAAATTTGTGAATTCTCAAATATTTATTATTCATATTTATGGTATTGGGACGATTCATTTGATATGGTCAAATTTGGAGTCAAAACATTTTCAGGTCTTTTCCCTAGTCATGGTCTTTTCTTATGGTTGCTACGACCACATAAATAATATACACATAAATAATGTACAAGAATCTCTATATCGCAGATGTGCAAATGATATTGTGATGGAACTTTTGAACAATGTATCTCTAAAACGCAAGTCTTGCAATATTCCTCTCTTTTGTATAGGATTGTTTATTGGGTCTTGTATCCATTACACTCTTGGTATAGAAAGAAAATAAAAGATTTGAACAATTTTACTCATTTCAAATATCTACTATGAGGATACGTAAATACTACTTATGGAATATTAAGATACTTTAAATGACTTTAATACAAATTTAAGAATGAAATAAAAAAGACACCACCCCGAGAAATATAATCACACCAACGCCGGTTTCATGCATACGAATATAGACATGATCTCCAACATCCCCTTCGACAACAACAAGACCAGCTCGTTCGTCCCAAGTTGAAGCATCGCCATGAGCAAAGGTAGATCCAGCAATTTCCCCATTGACGACTATCTCAACAGAGGCCCATCCATCGGTTTGAACTGCCACAGTTCATGACAAGACATAAACTCCGATATCTTGGTAGGATAAATATACCATCGTCCTTGTGATAATCTTGACCTTTGTTAACCTTGACTGTGTCAAAGATAAATGTGTGATGTTGACTAAGATTGGGAGCTGTATCTGTGGACAGGTAGACGTAGAAAGCTATATATTGTCTGTGGCAGAATCAGGGGTTGGTGGAACTAAATCAATTTTTAAAAAAAACTTGTGTAGATAAATAACTTTAATCATGTAATTTAAAACTCAAGTCGAAAATGATTGATTGATTGATTGTATGTTGTTTAACGTCCCTCTCGAGAATTTTTCACTCATATGGAGACGCCACCACTTGCCAGTGGAGGGCTACAAATTTTGTCCTATGCTCGGCACTCAGGGCCTTGAGCAGTGAGGAATATTTATTGTGCCAGCACCTACTGCGACACGGGGCCTCCGTTTATACATTCTCATCCGAAGGACAGATCTCCACGTCCCGCAGTGGGATTCGAACCCGCGACGTAAGGATTGACTCCTTACTTCGACCAAGTCGAAAATAAGAATTATATTTAAAAAAGTGTTTATATGTTTTGACAAAATCTGTTATATTTTAAGAAATGCGTTTTTAATTTTGAATTTACCGTATCAGCAGAATTTTTAGCGAGGACTTAATTTTGTCTTTATTAGCGAGGATGCAAAGATCGCTTAAATTGAATAGTGCTTTAAATTAATTGCACTTTATTCGTAAATATGGCTTCATTACTGAGCTTTTTAAAATCGCTAAAATTACATCTCGCTAAAAATTAAAATGCCAGTCTTTAAGCACAAATCGCTCAATTTGCGACTAGCTAAAATTTCCACTATTCCGATTAATATTGAGATCAATTCACCAATAACATGAATAAGTAGAATTATTCGAAATTCATCCTACATAATAGTCTTTTTCTTGGTGAAAAATTGTTCATTCATTCCGTATGTAGTTCTTTGTTTTATTTTTATTTAGTTTTGTTTGTAGCTAGGTCATTCCGATTTCCATCAGAGCTTTTCGAGAGGATTGTCGTCTGGGTAGGTATTACAGCCTTCTCCTTGTTTTCACTGATAGTTCTCTCGAGATTCTCCACCTTTAATGACAACTCATTGTTTCTTCTGTTGTTGTCCTCCACCAGTGTCTTTAGTGCCTTATTTTCCTTCAGGAGTTGGTCATTGATTTTCATGTACTGCTGTACATTCCTCTCCAGAGAAGATAGGCGGGCTTCCATTGTCGTCTGCCAATCGCTGGTCACATGACTTGCAGAAAAATGGAAAATTAATATTATCAAAAATAGAATTGTAGTGATTTTTGTCTTTCTTGTCCACGTTTTCTTTCTTAATACCATGAGTTGTATTAGTATTGAGAAGACTGAAGAGTGATAAGATAACAGAACTTCTTTTTACGTAAAGTCACACTGTCCTTCCATGTTTTAGACACTACACTAACAAGCGCTAGTGTTTAGATTGAAATAAAAAAAAAATACCAAAATGCAAAGGAACCAACAGTTAAACATTACTGTGCAGTAAAAATACAATATGATATAGCACAAAATGTACTTCTTTTTTCATGTTGTTAAAGAAACTAAACAGTGTTAATTAATTCTGAAAATATTGATATTTGCATTATGTTTACAATTACAGTTTTGATCACAGAGCATATATGCTCAAAAAAGATTTATCTGAACTATGGTGCATTGTTTATTAAAATACATCATATACTATAGATTTTGATTCACCAGAGGAAATATAATTATTATAAATCACACACACACACACAAACAGCTAGCTATATAAACGTACATTATTGGACTTTATTTCAACACGTTCAATATACTATTAAAACATTAAAAGAGACGCCATCCCGAAAAAGTCGTCCGTGCTCTACCATTGCTGTTTACAACATTAACCCCATTTTCATGCATACGAATATAAACATGATCTCCGACGTTAACCTCGACAACAACGAGACCCGTCACAACATCAAAGGATGCAGTGCCCCCATCAGCAAAAGTCGATCCAGCAATTTCTCCGTTGACGACAATCTCTACAGAGGACCAGTCCATGCAAATACATAAACTCCGGATTTTGGGTATGATGAATATACCATCGTCCTTGTGATAACCTTGACCTTTGTTGACCTTGACCTTGTCAAAGATTAAGGTGTGATGTTGACGAAGACCAGACGCTGTATCGGTAGACATGAAGGCATGGAAAGCTATGTTTTCTGTGGCAGAATCAGGGGTCGGTGGAACTAATGAAACAAAGCAAATTAAAATTTTGAATGTAAAACTTAAATTATGGTTAGTTAAGACAGACTGTTGATTATAAAATACTTTTAATTTTTTTTTAAAGTGAAAGAATATTCTAAATATGTTTTCGAAAGCGTGTTCTCGTTTTGTGGTTTAACAGACAGACAAGCAAATAGATAAGAATCTCTACAGACAAAATCTAGTCCCTGAATAGAATATTCCAAAATTCAGCCTACCTATCCTTTTCCTTGGTACTTTGGTTGCATTTGTCGTAAATTGTTGATCTGCTCCGTAATTACCTGTTTGGTTTTTAATTAAACTTGTTCGTAAGCCATCTTCACTACCACTAACACTTTCCGGGAGATTATATATCTTGGGACGTATTTGAGTGTCCTTTCGATTGGTTTGGATACCACGAATAGTTCTTTCGAGATTCTCGACCTTTATCGACAACTCAGTATTTCTTCTGTTGTTGTCCTCCACGAGTGTCTTTAGCGCCTTATTTTCCTCCAGGAGTTGATTATTGATTTTCATATTCTGTTGTAGAGTCCTCTCCAGAGAAGAAAGGCGGGCTTCCATTGTCATCTGCCAATCATTATTTTCAGAGTTGGTCACATAACTTGCAGAAAAGTGGAAAATTAATATCATTGAAAATAGAAACGTGGTGACATCCATTTTATCGTTTTCACCTTCTTCATGTTCTTCTTGCGTAATTCTCTGTGTTGTCTTCGGTTTGAATTGACTGATAAGATAAGAGGACTTCTATTGCAGTAAAGTCACACTGTCCTTCCAAATTAAATGCTATATACGACTAATGATTTTAGCGTCTGATTGTGCATTTAGAAGTCGAAACCAAGAGTAGATGAACCAAAAAAAGCGAAAAATTGCCCTCTTTAGATAAGTATCTATAAAGGGCTACTTGCCAGTTTCCTTACTCTCCCATTCATCTATTTGAAGTAAATTAAAGTACTTTTAAAATATCGAATTATGTATAACAAAATGAAAATAATGATCAACAAATTAAAATAAGTTTTATTTTGACATATGCACAAATATCAAGTTATCTGCAAATTCAGTTCTTAATTTGACAATTCCTATTTAAAATTTAAAAGTGTTTTATTTTTTACACTTTTCATTGCAACTCCCAAGTCTCTTATTAAATGTTGGATTGGATTTTTAAAATTAATTAAGGCTTTGTGGTAGCCCTTTAAGACAACACATTTTTTAACTTATTTTACTGGTTTACTGGTTTACTGGTTTACAGAACTTGCTGTGAGTCACGAGGAACCATATCTTGTAAAATAAGGTTATCGACAGTCATATGCAAGGAGATGTGCTGAAGGAATTTCAGAGTTAACAAGAATGTCTAAATACCCATCCTTATTGACATTTCCATTGATTGGGGTAAGTCAGTACCCACGTATAACATCACACTCTAAACACACCTCCACCGCCAAATTTTTCTGTAGACCTGTACAATACTTTTTGTATGCCTCATGTCTCCGTTACTGAAATAATAATGGTTGCAAAAAAACTTTAAACATTTCGGGAAATTTGTCACAACACAGTGATCTAATTTTTCAATTTTAACAATGCTGGACTCTATATACCACGCTGGGTTAGGTATACCGGTATTGTTTCCATGTTATAAATATATAACATGATGGGCTACTATTCCGTACCCTACTATAATGTTTATATTGGTTCCATAGATTTACTGCCACGGTCCACCATATGACTTTTTCATCCATAAAAAAATCGAATTCATGTTGAAATCCATGAATATCCTTCTCCCTCATTTCTTTATCTCTTCTCCTAATCTTAGCTTTTCTTCTTTTATCTTCGTGAATTGTTTGATATATTAAACTCCCTTTATTTCTTCGTGTATAAATTTCTGAATTTTCTTCTCGATTTCTTAAAGGGGAGGGGTCCTCCAATTTATCCTTTTTGTCCCACGTCTTGCCTTTTGTCATCACGACCATCCTTTGGGGTCCACCTTCCTATCCCCTTTATCCCAAGTCCCCTGTGGACACCCAGTTTGTTTAGCATGTGGTTTTCCGACCTCTCGTCTCGCACAGTATTTTTTTTTTAATCAGCATAGATATACTAGTTGTATTTAGTACCCTCGTATTTGTCTCGCCTGAGGAAGTATGTTATCATTTAACGAAAGAAATAAATTGTTTTTGTCCCCCGCTTTCGCGAAAGCGAGGGGACATTAAATCTCATTCGTCTGTCCGTCGGTCCGTCTGTCTGTCCGTCGGTCCGTCAGTCTGTCCGTCCGTCACAAAAACTTTAACCTTGCCCATAACTTTTGATTTAGTGGAGCTATGATTTTCATATTTCAAATGTGTATTCCTTGTGATAAGACCTTTCTTTGGGTTCCACCAAATTTGACCTTTTGACCTTGACCTTGGAGTTTCAACTACTTTTACTAAAAAATTCCAAACTTTTACTTTGGCCATAACTTTTGAATGGTAGGTACTAGGACTTTCATATTTCACATATCTATACTTTGTTACTAGACCTTTCAATGAATACCAACAACTTTGACCTTTTGACCTTGGAAATTTAAGTAGTTATGAAAAAACTATATCCTTGACCATAATTTTTGAATGGTAAGGGCTACGGCTTTTATACTTCAGATATGTTATTCTTGTAAGAAGAGCTTTCATTGGATACCAAGAACTTTGACCTTTTGACCTTGACCTTGGAGTTTTAACTACTTTTTAAAAATTATAACATTGGTCACAACTTTTGAACGGTAGATACAAGGACTTTTATATTTCACACATGTATTCTTTGAGGCAAAACCTTTCATTGGATACCAACAAATTTGACCTTTGGACCTTGACCTTGGAGATTAAGGTACTTCTGAAAAAACTTTAACCTTCACCATAACTTTTAAACGGTAAGGGCTAGGGCTTTCGTACTTCACGTATGTATCCTTGTGAGAAGAGCTTTCATTGTATGCCAAGAACTTTGACCCTTTGACCTTGACCTTGGAGTTTTAACTACTTTTTAAAAACGTTAACCTTGGTCACAATTTTTTAACGGTAGAAACTAGGACGTTCATATTTTAAATATATGTATCCTTTATGGCAAGACCTTTCATGGGATACCAAAAACTTTGACCTATTGACCTTGACCCTTAAAATGATATCTTGTCCACAAAGATACCGAAAGCGGGGGACCATAATTCTTTGAATTTGATTGTTTTCTCATTTTACCGATACCTAAATTCAATTTTCTAGAGGCGTGTTACCCCCCCCCCCCCCCTTGGCAAAAAAAAAAGAGAGAGAAAAAGAAGATATCCCAACTTTTTGATGTGTTTTCACTGTAGAAAATGTTCAGTGAAAGCTAATTTGTTGTATTTCAAAATATATAAAGAAATTCGATCATATGAACCAGATGAAACACAATCCTTTACAGAATATGTTTTTCGGCGGATATTTTTCCCCTTTATTTTTCAAAAACGTTCAGACCTGTACTATTTAATCATACTCTCGAAGTATTTCAGTTTCCCAGGTTGAACATCCCACTTTTAAAAGCCATACTCCATCCCGCATCTACTGAGTTGTTAACTACAGTGTACATATAATATATGTAAAACGTACGTTATAATAGTTTTTTTTCCTCTTCAACCCCCCCCCCCCGGCCCCCTTTGAAAACTTTCTAGATCCTCGCCTGCGATAGACATGTCATGTGCCTGCATAAATTTTATAGCTTGACATGTTACCTTACATATACTTTCTATTAGAGAAATAGATAAGTTAACTTTCAACTTCATCTACAGAAATCAAACGAATTTGGATGAAGGGGAAAACCTGCCCATTTAGCCTAACTATTCCGGAAATGAAGAGTCCCTTTTGATATAGGTTTATATTTTAGTTTTTCCAACTCTCGCGAATGTTCGTGACTTCAAAAAACCGGCATTATTGCTTCATCATAAACAAAACAACGCCAAAAAATGACAGGAACTGTGCGAATGGTGACGGAGGATTCACAGTTCCAACCAGAACTGACCAACGCTGGAACTAAACTCGTCGTAGTGGACTTTTATGCCACGTGGTAAGCAACAGTTTAAAGAAGAACGATCCCGAAATACTTTCATTCCTCAACATGTATAACTAGATGATGATTTGTGTATGAATCATCTCAAGATTTTTAGATTGTGAAGATAGAAGATAATTTTTCTTACACAAAATTTTCATTTACAAAATTTTGTTCTTCGTTCGACAAAGGAAAAATTATTGAAAGAGGAAATTCGAACGTTTTTTTTTTCAAGAAATATTAAAATAAGAGAAATGAAGTTTTGAATTTGATTTTTTAAAAAAAGAAAGAAAGAAAGAAAATACACGATTTTGTGAAGAAAATAAAGTCAGCAATTAAATACAATTTTGATATGAAGCTTCAAAAGCCTTAGGGATTTTTAAAGCAAGTTCAGATTATTATAACTTACCAGATTGTGCTGTAACGTAAGCATGGTAAGTAAAGTTGTCTTCAGTATAACATGTATAATAAAATATCTCAATAATCTGTTTAAGTATCATGATACTATATATCATGGTATGAAATTTTTACGATACTACACCCTATTAAATTGTATAACATACTGTAAAACAACTTTTATTTGCGAAGACTCTATTTTGCGACTTAACCGGGGTCAAACTTGTTCGTGGGATTAATTTTCACGATCAAGCCTTTTTTTGATCTGTTGGTAATAGACACAGAGACTTTAAGGACTGGTTCGCGGCTAGAAATATTCACAATGATGAGGCTCTTGCGAACTTCAAGAAAAAATTTTCGCACGCGAATAAAAAATGGTTTACAGTATTATGATTCACACCTCACATAACTAATATCTAATCTTAATAATTTAGGTGTGAAATAATAATAACAAATCTTATTAATAATTTAGGTGTGGGCCCTGCAGAAGGATAGCACCACTGTACGGAGAGCTGAGTCTGAAATACACTAATGTTGTGTTCCTAAAGCTGGATGTCGACCAATGTCAGGTACGTAATCTAGGTCAAGGACTTTAATGTCAGATATTGATACGTAAAACAAGACCATTCAACTTGATGAAGTAAAGCAGACTAATTTAAGCCTGGTGTAAAAATTGAAAGTTAAACAGATGATGATGTCAGGCATAGGTTAAAGTATACTGTATTATAATCGTGATTTTATAACAGGAACAGTTAATTTTTATATTGTGCATCTTTGAAGATACAATAATTTACATAGTACTTGCAGAAACTTTTAGAAGCTATATAACATGTAGTATAAAGATAATTAACTTTTTATTATAATGAGTTTAATTATATAATTCCATTTTATTAGGAAACAGCACAGAGCCAAGGTGTCACAGCCATGCCTACTTTCATATTCTACAAGAACAAAGTGAAAGTAGATGAAATGAAGGGAGCGGATCCAGCGGCTTTGGAGGAGAAGATCAAAAAGTGGATGGGGGAGGGAGAGGAGGGGGCGGATGAAGTCACTGTCAAGGGACATGTGTGTTTATTTCTCAATAATTAAGATGTTATTCCTTTGCTTTTGTGCTGCAGTTTCATTTCATTAATACTATGAGATCTGTACTGCAGATTCCTCATTTTTTGTGAGAACTTGTTATCGCAAAATACCGGTAGCTCTTTCACGTCATATTGCAAGTCAAAGAATAATAATTAGCGAATGGACGGTTGATCAACAGAATTACCATAAGTTTCGTCAAAATAAAAATAAAAATGAGAAATTTAATTTTGTGAGTGTTTCTAATAGCGAAATTACACGATAATTATTTACTCGAGTATAATTAGTACAGTATTGTTCCTAAGGTACCACTGTTTAGTGGATTTTGTGAGTCACCCTTCCTCATGTAGTATTGATAATTCTCTGTCTAACTCTAATGGAGACTTTTTTTATACAGATGGATCTGTCCTCGTTAATTAACAAGTCTGGATGTGAGTGTCTTAACGAGTCAGATGAGCACCCTCTAAGTCACGCCCTCACAACCAAGGGAGGCTACCTCGAATCCGACTGTGATGAACAGGTAATTTTAACAAACTATCTCTGTTACTACAAAAGGAATTGCTACAAGAGTGTCTTATAGCAACTTGTTATTCCTCTTTCATTTCTTCCCCTCCCCAACCCCACCACTTTTAAAAGACAACACTTTCATTTGTCAAATATTAAGTCTAAATCCACAAGCAATGGAAGTTTTTCTATATATGCTAAAAGTTCCATAAATACTGTATACAGGGTTATATTTGTCCTTTTGCACTCATGAACAATTTTGCCTTGTTTTAAATTAGCCCAGTCACAGTTCTGTTTAAGAAATTAGACTGTTTTCTTTGAAGTTGTTCTCTATCAAATTCTCCCACCTATGATTTGGGTGAAAGTGGTGAGAATAAAACTGGTGCAAAATTCCCCTATATACAGTTAAATCAAAAACTGAGTTGAGTGAGTTCTCCAAAAATTGTTTACTTACATGATTGTAATGAAATTTGTGTGTCTGTTTATATCTTTTTTCACTTGATATCAAAATTTTTAATACATATGATAGCAATATAAACTGTAGTTAACTATAAGAAATACAAATTAACTTTCTGTTTACAGTTACTCATCAGTTTGGAGTTTACACAGAGTGTAAAGTTACATTCCCTGAAACTTTACGCCCCAGAAGGTGAGTGACATTTCTTTTTTTCTTTTTTTTTGAAATATCCAGCAAGACTGTGTACAGCAGTACATTTACGGTAAAACATACTACATGTAGTTATAAACAAGACAAGTGTCGGATACAGACGATTAGGCCTCTTTAAAAAACAATTCATCATTTCATAAAGTTCACAGTGTATTTTAAAGCTATTTGGAATAATTGCTCTAATTAAATTTTTAATGTATTTGTAATAATCGATAATTTGCACTTATAAGGCTATCCTTATCAGTAAATTTTGAACTAGAGACTATTTGCTCTACATCAATCGATGTATAAAATCAATTTTGCTCTTGAGTAGAATCTAGAACTATTGAATTAATTACATTTGATAATATTTGCATGATTATTTATATTTTTGATATAATTTTCAGAAAATGGTCCTAAGACAGTTAAGATATTCCAGAACCTTCCCCGATCTCTAGACTTTGATCAGGCGGAGAACATGGAGGCAGTTCAGACGTTAGAGTAAGTCAGTATTATTGATGTTCTGTTACTATAAAGCTGGTTTTGCATCTGAGTTAAATACCAGGGTTTGACTGAGTCTAGTAAAAGATGGGTCCGATCGGGTAATATGTCTGTGTACTAGACAAACTCGTCATGTAAGAAAAATAAAGGAACTTATTATATATTTTTTATCAAATCATTTATTGTCAATGAAAAAATAAAATTGAAACGTTTCTAAGTGCATTGTTTAAAGAAAAAAACATACGTTACAGACAACATGACTGAAGTGCTATGTTTAACAACAGTTCATTGTCGGCATTTATAACTACTTTGCCATTTTCCTAATGAGCTATTTATCATTTCTGGAATTGGCTGAGTAGTTACGTTGTCATTGTCGAAAGATACACGTTTACGACATTGGTAAACCACGTAAACAGCAATAAAACTATAAAAATAGAATTATTTTTATTATACTTAAATTCTCTGAACATTTTTAATGGTATCAATATTAATATTGTATACAAGTTGATTAAATTAGGACTTAATTCGCCAAGCCACGTGAATATGACTTAGTTACGATGTGACATGTGCAGGAAAATGTCGTTATGAAATATGGATTCTCATCATCTGCACAGAAAAAAGAATCATCACTATTTTGTACTTAAAGTATTTTTTCTCAAGTTTGGTCAGGGTTAGTTCATGGTTAAAGCGTCAGGGCTAGTAAAAATTTGCCAGAGTAGACGACTGGTCTAGTATTCCAAAAGCTTAATGTCAGACCTTAGATACATTAGTATTTCTGTTTCCAGTCAAAGTTCTTTAATATAACAATCTTGTCAAGGCTTTTGATATACTGTAAACCAAATATTATTGGCGTTTTCTTTTATTTGCGATTCGTCAGTTTGAAATTAATATACAAAGATCAATGTTCGCCACATTGGGAAATATTCTAGATACAAATAAAGAGTAAAATAAATGGTTGAAGGTGAGAAATATATTTGTGTTAAAAAAGGCTGCGAAACTTTCAATTATTTCTTGCACATGAATACAAATTGGTTTACGGTAACAAATAAAACTTCAATAGAAGTACACTTTACTCTTAAAAAAAGATAGGGGAAAAAAGGAAAATAAAAACTTTGTGTTTAACAGTTTATGTTTGATATTTATCACTGTTTCATTTATTTTTCATCTCATTGGGTGCAGTGAGTTGTTTTTTTTTTGCCTATTATGGTACATTCTGACTACATCTCATTGAATATCATTGAATTAGTTTCCCTCTTCTCATAGAAACATAAAAAAATTTACCTTGTGAAAAAATTTGTCAAGGAAGATAAGTCTTCTTGTGCTGTTTTACAGGCTGACCCCAGCAGATCTGAAGGAAGGAACACTGATTCCTCTACGTTTTGTCAAATTTCAAAATGTCGGAAATGTCACGGTAAGTAAAATTCATTTTGTGATAGTTTTAGCCTGGTTGTTTTCGGGATGAAAAAAAAGATTGGTACAGTTTTTAGGTCACCTGAGTAAACTCAGGTGACCTATTGCTATCTGTTTTCGTCCGTCGTCGTGCGTCGTCCGTTAACATTTGAACATTTTCAGCTTCTTCTCTGCAACCACTGAACCAATTTCAACCAAATTTGGCACAAAGCATCTATGGGTGAAGGGGAACAAAAATTGTGAATTTCATGGTCCCTGCCCCCCTGGGGCCTGGGGGGTGGGGCAAAAACTACTAAAATTAATGCAATCTTTAAAAATCTTCTTCTTTACTCCTGGACATCAAGCAGTTAAACTGTTTGCATGATTGTAATCAGCATTGAGTCCTCTACCAAAATTGTGAAATTTATGGCCCCAGGGTCAGGGGTTCTAGTGCTAGGGTGGGGCTAAATAAGTATATAGTGAAAATGCATTATTTCTTTGAAAATCTTCTTCTCTGCTCCTGGGTATTAAATAAACTAACTAAGTGCATAGTTATGATGAGCAAGAGTGCCTCTACCAAAATTGTGAATTTTATGGCCCCAGGGTCAGGGGTTCTAGTGTTAGGGCGGGGCTCTATAGATTATATAGTGAAAATTCATGAATTCTTTGAAAATCTTCTTCTCTGCTCCTGAGTATTAAATAAACTAACTAAGGGCATAGTTATGATGAGCAAGAGTGCCTGTACCAAAATTGTGAAATTTATGGCCCCGGGGTCGTCAGGGGTTCTAGTGCTAGGGTAGGGCTAAATAAGTATATAGTGAAAATGCATTATTTCTTTGAAAATCTTCTTCTCTGCTCCTGGGTATTAAATAAACTAACTAAGTGCATAGTTATGATGAGCAAGAGTGCCTCTACCAAAATTGTGAATTTTATGCCCCCGGGGTCAGGGGTTCTAGTGTTAGGGCGGGGCTCTATAGATTATATAGTGAAAATTCATGAATTCTTTGAAAATCTTCTCTGCTCCTGAGTATTAAATAAACAAACTAAGTGCATAGTTATGATGAGCAAGAGTGCCTCTACCAAAATTGTGAATTTTATGGCCCCGGGGTCAGGGGTTCTAGTGTTAGGGCGGGGCTCTATAGATTATATAATTTAGTTAAAATTCATGAATCTTTTGAAAATCTTCTTCTCTTATCCTGGGTGTTAAATAAACTAACTAAGTGCATGGTTATGATGTGCAAGAGTGCCTCTACCAAAATTGTGAAATTTATGGCCCCAGGGTCAGGGGTTCTAGTGTTAGGGTGGGGCTCTATTGATTATATAATGGAAATACATGAATTTTTTGAAAAAATTTCTTTTCTGCTCCTAGGAATTAAATAAACTAAGTACATAGTTATGATGAGCAAGAATACCTCTTCCAAAATATTTTGATTTTATGGCCATAGGGTCAGGGGTTCTAGTGATAGGGTGGGGCTCTATTGATTATATAGTGAAAATACATTAAATCTTTGAACATTTTCTTCTCTGCTCTTTGGTATTAAGTAGATGAACTACCTATGTAGTTATGATGAGCAAGGACCCTAATCTTCCAGAATTGTGAATTTCAAGGCCCCAGGGTCAGGGGTACCATAGGGGGGATGTACTTATATACTGAAACTGGATGAATTGTTTTAGATCTGCTCCTTGGTATTAATCAAATATTTTTGAAAAGCAAGGGTGCCTTTTCAAAAATTGTGCAATGTGTGGATCTAGGCTGAAGGGTCAGGGTTTCATGTGTGAAAGGGGCATTACTGATTATTGCTGAATATTACTGATTACTTGAAATGCATTTTTTTGTTCCCCCACCCTGCCTATGGGTATTAAGTAAACAAATTAAGCAACTGCTAAGTATATTGTTATGATGATCAAATGGTGCCTCTTTCAAGATTGTGAATGCCATAGCATCTTGCTTAAAACAATAATCAAATTAAATCGCTGGAAAGTTGTTGCATAATGCTCAGGTGACCTATAAGGCCCACGGGCCTCTTGTTAAGACTTGTCTTTTCACAACTCAAAATAGACTATGCCTGTTGCCCAATTCCATTTTTGTGAATGAAATTCCTGGTATATAAATATACCGTATATACTCGCCTATAAGTCGGTCCACCTATAAGTCGGTTGTATTTAATAAGCTTTCATTTCAGATGGATGATCTCATATAAAACCTTACTTTTGATAGCTCGCCTATAAGTCGGACAATGAGTTTTAGACCAGAGATTAACTCCCAAAAAACCGACTTATAGGCGAGTATATACGGTATATAAATAACAGAAATCCACAAGATAATGATGTAAAATTTACACCAACAAATATCATAGAATTCATAGTGCAGTACATGCATAATGATTTTTGTTTTACATGAAAGTGGTGTATATGTTGAACAAGGGCAATACTTGTGTAGGACTGAAAGTAAGGGCTATCATATTCATAGGTTCAAAGTTGAAAAAAAAATTGAACTCTGTGTCTGTATTGCGTTTGCTGAATTTGTTATTTAAATTCAAAAACGTTATAAAAGACACAAATATTATATCAATTAATATGAACTATTTATTTAGAACATAAAATATGAAATATAATATTTTCAGGTTTAAATTTAGATATTTTCCTTTAAAAAATATTGAACAATGTAATAAAAATCCCTATTCACTATAACATTCGTTAAAAATCCTTTCTATAATATTACAATATCATTTAAGTACTTAAAAACTAATAAAAAATACCTTTCAACAATAATAGATTGTCACCCTTAACGGCTGCCGTATCTCTATCTAGCACAAGAACCCGTATGTTATACAAACGTATCTAGGTAACTAGGTCATAGCAATACCTACATATTTACAATGCACAACTTGTATCATTAAAACAGTAATAAAAATACGATACTATTTTATTTCTTTTAAATACATAAAATTACTACAAGTAAACAGTACTCGAGTCAAAGTACAGAATAAATACGAAATTCTTTATACAAATCATGTTCGATCGGGATCGGGATTGCAGTATGAAAACATGTGATTTCCCGGTAAAGTCAAAACATCTTTCTTCACAGTTTTGGATACAAGTTGTAGTTTTCCACAATAATAGACGTAATCATATGAAAAGAGGTAATTAAGTATGTAAAAATGAATATGATTAACATCGAAATTAATAAACATAATATGCATTTATACAGTAATCATGCATCAATACCAGTTCGAATTTCCTCGACATGTCACAACAAAGTATGAGACAAGAAATATCGCACATTGTAAACATGACAACGCAATTAACATTTCACATTTATCACACTTTCCCCCGCTTGGACTACATTTCGTCCTCGAAATGTGAACAAAAACATATATACAAAATCTATCTCATGTTATGTGACAGCTAGACTCTAGTTCAAATATCATTGTAGGATAAAAAGTATTTAAAAAAAAAAAATCTACATTCGTAGTGTACAAACATTATAAACTACATTAAAAAAAATCATCACACATAGTCATAGTGGATATGTAGCTTATTTACTTCATTTCATCTTTTACCTTTTCAACCCAGCTGGGTGTTTCAGCGCACACAAACGGCTTAAGTCTGTCATGATGTATGACCTCTGTTTTATGTTTATTTCTTATTTTGTAGACCACTGGACCAAATTTTTCCGTTATCAGATAGGGGCCGGCCCATGGGGATTCAAATTTCTTGTGATTTGGTTTCAATTTATACACAAGGCTTCCAACGGGCATGGTATTCTCACTGATGCGAGTGTCATAGTCTCTCTTTTGCCTCTCTGCTTGACTTTGTAAATTTTTCCGGGCTACATGATAAAGTTGCTCCATCTTCTCTCTCAGGTTTTCAGCATACTGGTCGGCGGTGTTTTTGTCATGGTCATTAGGCAAGGGATATAGGATACCGATCGGAGTATTGACCTCCCTACCAAACATTAGCATGTTTGGGGAATATCCAGTACTTGGATGAGGTGTGCTTCTGTATGCTGCCATCAGAATGCTGAGATATTTATCCCATTCATGGACGTTAGTTTCGATAAAGCTTTTAATCATCTTCCCTAAAGTTTGATTGAACCTTTCAATCAGGCCATTAGAACTGGGTCTGTATGGGGTTGATCTAGTCTTTTTGATTTGGAGAAGGAAACAGACTTCTTTAAACAGATCACTCTCGAAATTAGATCCTTGATCCGTATGGATTTCCAATGGAGTTCCATAGCGTACAATAAATTCATGTACTAATTTTGAGGCAACAGTTTCTGCATTTTGGTTTGGAATAGGGTAAGCTTCCATCCATCTCGTGAAGTGGTCCCCTATAACGAGTATGAATTTGTTCTGTTTTTTCGATCTGGGTAAAGGTCCTATCACATCTATGCCTATCCTATCGAAGGGATAGCCAACGCGATAATCGCATAATTTTGCCCTTGGGGTCTTGTTGAGTGTCTTCCATCTACTGCAAGCTGGACATTGTCTGACATGGCTTTTTATGTCCTCTCCCATCCTGTACCAGTAGAAATAGTTCTGTACTTTCTGAATTGTTTTATTTACACCTTGGTGGGCGGAGAATATGTCATCATGGCTCATTTGAAGGATACTTTGCCTAAGCACTCTTGGAACTAAGAGTTGTTGAACCTCTCTTTGATCTGTAACAAATAATTTTCTGTAAAGAATTCCTTCCTGCGCAGTAATAGATCTCCAGTTCAGCCAAAAGTTCCGAACAGCTGGGCTAAATTGAGATACTTCATCCCGAGATGGTAGTTTCTTTTGTTCTAACCACTGATGAAGAATCTTTAGATCTGAATCTTGTTTCTGAAAGTCTATCATTTCTGTTGGTGTAAACTGCTGCATCCAGTTGCACGTTTGGTTCAGATTGATAACTCTTGTACTGAGAGAATTTCCATTTTTGCTGAGGTCAGTCACATTATCAATGTTTTCCTTGAAGTCCTGCCATTGTTCATTCAAGTTTTCACATTCCATTCACTGTGGTTCTGTGTCATCATGAGAGCATTTTTCTGGAAGTCGAGACAACGAATCTGCATTCAGGTGTTTCTTGCCTTCTCGATGTTCTATTTTAAAGTGATACTGTGATAAAACCTCCAACCAGCGAGCTAATTGTCCTTGGGGGTCCTTAAAGTTGAAAATCCATCTCAAAGAACTATGGTCAGTTCTCAGGAGAAACTTCCTTCCAAGTAAATAATGTCGAAACTGGTTGATGAAGGTAACCACTGCTAGTAACTCTCGTCGTGTTACATTATAGCGTTTTTGATGTTTATCGAGTTTCTTTGAGGCATATGCTATAACTTTTTCTTTGCCTTCTTTCATTTGCGACAGTACTGCTCCAATCCCATTATCCGAAGCATCTGTGTCTAATACAAAAGTTTCCGTAGAAGATGGGTATGATAATACTGGAGCATCACATAATGCTGCTTTCAGAGTATGGAAGGCTTCTTCACATTCTGGCGACCAAATGAATTTCTTGTCCTTCTGTGTCAAGCTGCTGAGTGGTGCTGCTATATCACTGAATTTGTATATGAACTGTCGGTAATAATTGCAGAGTCCAAGAAACTGTTGTATTTGTTTCACATTTTGTGGAGTCTTCCAATTTTTAATGGATTCCGTAATCTTGGGATTTGGTTTAATGCCCTCTTTCCCGACAATATGTCCTAGGTATAGTACTTCTGACTGGAAAAGTTCGCACTTCGAAGGTTTTAGTTTAAGACCTGCAGCTTGGAGTCTTTGAAGAACCTCATTCAACTGTTTAAAATGATCTTCCATATTCTGGCTAAAGATAATGATGTCATCCAGATATATCAATAGGTGTTTCCACTGCATTCCTCTGAAGATTAATTCCATGCATCTTTGGAAAGTACTTGGTGCTGAACATAAACCAAAAGGCATCTTTGTATATTCAAAGAGTCCGTATTTCGTGATAAAAGCTGATTTTTCTCTGTCTTTTTCCTCCAGGACAATCTGCCAATATCCACTTTGTAAGTCCATTGTAGAAAAGATTGAGGCACCTGCTAGACAATCTAGACACATGTCAATACGTGGTAAAGGATAGGCATCTTTACGGGTGCAGTCATTGAGTTTTCTGTAATCAATGCACCAGCGGACTGTTCCATCTTTTTTGCGAACTAATACCACTGGTGAGGCCCAAGCAGATTTGGAAGGTTTAATAATTCCATTACGTAGCTGTTCTTTTAAGTAGGTTTCTTCCTCTGCCTCAAATCCTTGAGGAGTCCTTCTAAGTGGTTGTCTGATGGGAGCTGATCCTGCCGTATCTATCTTATGAGTAATGACAGAACAGGTACCAACATCTGTTTTGTTTTGAGCGAAAGCGTCCTTGTTAGTTAACAGTATCTGTGCCAGTTTGATCTTGTCTTCACTGCAATGAATTTTCCCACAACTTTTTTCATACAAGTCTTTCAAATACTCGGGCAGCTGAGGAACATCGGCCTTGCTCCGCAGCAACCGTAGCACTGTATTTCCCGTATCATTCCAGTCGGTTGGAATTCTTGGGTGTTCACTATTGCCATCCACTGTCAGCTCATGCAATTTATTGCACTTATGCTTCACCATATCAGGCGTTAAGGGGTATCCACAAGAATCTAGGATCTCGGTACATTCTTGAACTGGATGTAATTCTCCTAAAAGTTGGTTTTTCTTCAGTTTTATAGGAAATTTGGAAGTGTTAACAACTCTCACTGGAATCTTTGACCTGAAAGGGTTGACTAGACAGCGGGCCACAATTACCTCTTGTGAATCTTCAAACACTGGTTCTATTGCAGAAAAACAGGTGTCAATCAACTCAGGATTTTCACTTTTTCCAATTACCAATGCCTCAGAAGAAGGGGGTATGGTGATGGTCTCATCAACATGTAACCTTGAAACTTGATCCTGTTTGCGATCCACATAACATTCCACCCACTTGCCTTGAATTTCCAAACCACGTCGCGTATTAATGGTTACATCATGTTGATCTAGGAAGTCGCAACCAAGTAAAAGGTCATCTGCTATTGGAGCCACATACATTTCCCATGCATAGTTTTCCTCTCCTATTTCCATTTGGACTTCCGTTATTCCACTTGTCCTCATTTTCCTACCCGCCTCTGCTACCACTAAGCTTCTTGGAGCTTGTCGCAACTGCGGACGTTTCTCAACAGGAATTTCCTGAAACCTTCTCTCACTAATCACTGTCACCTCTGCTCCAGTGTCTACCACAGCATTCATCCTAATGCCCTCAATGGTAACGGGAGCTTGGATAGTTACGGCATGTACCCTATCAATGACAACCTCACTTTCCTCTGGTGCAGTATTAAGTATACAAGGTTCCTTCACCTGTTCAAAACTTACTTCCTTCGTGGTTTGTGAATTTGCTTTGATCACCGTGGATTCCTTCTCCTTTTGATTGATAATGGGGTTTTTCTCCATTTTACTCATTTCCACTTTTCCTAGTAGGGCTGATGTTTGGCCGACAACCTCAGCCCCTTCTAGTTTAAAGATTTTTTATTTTCTTCTGTACATGTAGGGTGAGGAAATGACCTTGCTTGGTTAGATCCACCCTTCGTCTGTGTCTGATAATTGTTCACCTTCTTCGTGGTTGACTTGAATTCTTTTTTATCCTTTGTCAAGGGACATGTTTTCCTGGTGTGCCCTTCCTCACCACAGCCATAACATACAAAGGGTTGTTTAGATAAACTGTTTGTTGTTTTTTGGTCAACATAGTTCTTCATGTCTTTTTGTATATCACGCATGGTGCTAGTGATGGATTCTGTTAATTCCCGTCCAAAATGGTTCAGCCTGTCCTCTGTGATGAACGGTTTATTGCCAACTCTTTTGACTTCTGGAGTATTATATTCTTCCTCCACAGCTATTTGTCTGAGATGTTGTTTAGCTCTAATACCATTTTTGCATGAGAAATGCCAAGAGAGCAGATTTACAGCCTCCTGTAAGGTTTGTGGACGTTTAGTTAAGACATCATATGCAATAGATTGATCGTTGATTCCATTTAGCATGTGCTCGATGCTTAAACTTTTATAAATTTCAGTATTTTGCATTCCAGGGTATGCTTTGCTCATCTTAGCTTCAATCCGAGTAGAATACTCTTGGAAGGATTCACCAGCCGTCTTCCTGATTTGCTGAAGTTCTCTTCTATGCGTTTCCGGTAGAGTATGGTCACCAAATCTCCTATTCATCGATTCTATTAGATACAACCATTCTGATCGGACTTCATGAGAAAGTTGTGTTACGAAGGTTAGAGCTTCGTCCTTTAAGCAGAAGATGATTTCTTCCCTCCTCCTCTCAATTGTCCATTTATATCTGTCTGCCAGCATCTCAAACTGCAGCAGGAAAGACTTCCAGTCTCCCTTCCCATTAAATATTGGGAGTCTTGGTTTTGGTTCCTCCCAATCACTCATGTTGGAGTTTGTACTTCCACTTTCATTGGGAATAGGCCAGCTAGGCTGAGGATAAGTACTCCAACCTGGACGATTATTTGTGGTTTGAGGGGTCCATCTCATTTGATAATTTCCCTGGTTTGGTTGGATTACATTTGATGGATATGTAGCATTTTGGGCATAACCACTGTGTCCTTGAGAATATCCACTATAGCCTGGAGGATGAGTGTAACGACCAAGATTGGGATACAAACCATTCTGACTTGACTGTTTACTGCTGGCTATCTTCAATGCTTCCTCCAATTCTCCTATTTTGCATCTCAGACTCTCTACCTCACCTTGATTTTCATTCCTGCATTCTTCATTGTCAATGCCCATCATGCTTGGAATCCTCCTTGGGCTGTGCACTGGGGAACACACATTTTCCACCACAGAAGATGATTGAACACCTTGATTCACAAACTCTACATCCCTATTTTCCCCCACTTTAAAACTAGGAGAACCTAATTTTCTATTTCTTAACATCATTTTCCTAGGTGAATTTTTTCAAACAATACTTTTTTTTTCAAAAAAACAATAAAATATAGACAAAAAATTATTTAAATTTCAATTTTTAACCGCTGCCACCAATTATTGCGTTTGCTGAATTTGTTATTTAAATTCAAAAACGTTATAAAAGACACAAATATTATATCAATTAATATGAACTATTTATTTAGAACATAAAATATGAAATATAATATTTTCAGGTTTAAATTTAGATATTTTCCTTTAAAAAATATTGAACAATGTAATAAAAATCCCTATTCACTATAACATTCGTTAAAAATCCTTTCTATAATATTACAATATCATTTAAGTACTTAAAAACTAATAAAAAATACCTTTCAACAATAATAGATTGTCACCCTTAACGGCTGCCGTATCTCTATCTAGCACAAGAACCCGTATGTTATACAAACGTATCTAGGTAACTAGGTCATAGCAATACCTACATATTTACAATGCACAACTTGTATCATTAAAACAGTAATAAAAATACGATACTATTTTATTTCTTTTAAATACATAAAATTACTACAAGTAAACAGTACTCGAGTCAAAGTACAGAATAAATACGAAATTCTTTATACAAATCATGTTCGATCGGGATCGGGATTGCAGTATGAAAACATGTGATTTCCCGGTAAAGTCAAAACATCTTTCTTCACAGTTTTGGATACAAGTTGTAGTTTTCCACAATAATAGACGTAATCATATGAAAAGAGGTAATTAAGTATGTAAAAATGAATATGATTAACATCGAAATTAATAAACATAATATGCATTTATACAGTAATCATGCATCAATACCAGTTCGAATTTCCTCGACATGTCACAACAAAGTATGAGACAAGAAATATCGCACATTGTAAACATGACAACGCAATTAACATTTCACATTTATCACAGTCTGTGCAAATTAACATCAATTCTAGTGAAGGGCATGCAGTAAAGTTTAAAACTGTAAAGTCATATTTTCGTCTATTTCAGGTTCAAGTTCACTGTAAGTTCAATATTTGTTTTATTTCAGGTATTTATTAAAGACAACCAGTCTGGTTCAGAAACCACTCAGATAGACTACTTTGGTTTTGTCGGTTCACCGGTAGACACTACAAATATGGCCGAATTTAAAAGGGTGAGTAACAATGTAAAGGATGGAACAACATGTGAAGGGTCACAAAAGGTCAGCCTGAATAATTGTCAAACAAAGTCCAAACAAACAAAATTAGTTGATCCCAAGCCTCAAGACAGTCAGTTTTATTATTGATTTTTCCAAACATACTGGGTATTTTAAATATATCTCTTGATTTATGAAACACTCTCCTATTAATTTCGCCAGTGGAGCTTTTGTTGGCAGTGAATGAATTCCAATGGGATGAGGTCAACATAGATAGAGTTATCTCTCTTTTAACACAATTGTATCTGAATGAAATTTAAAGTAGAAATATTTAACAGTTAGAGTATTTAGATTTGACACACTGGTTTGTTATTTTCAATTTACGGGTGGAAAAAAATTATGGGAGGAAAAAGGACATTAAAACTTTTTGAAACCTGACACCAATTGTTCCAGTACAGAAATCAGCAGAATGAGTCAACAAAAAAATAATAAAAAGGAATTACTTTACTTTCAGTTTCAGATATAGAAAATATTTACTGTATTTAAGTAATGATTTTGGTTGTTTTTTTTTTTTTTGCAGGTTGCTGGCAAAAAAGGAGAGAGCCACTGACAGTCAATGTATCTTAGATTTCTATTGGTGTATGGGGAGGGGGCTTATACTGCAGGTGTAGAGTCGCATCAATCTTATCATCAACTAATACATTATTTCTGAAGATACAATGTTTGGTTATAGACAGTTCATATAAATATTTTAATTTATCGAATAAAGAGAATGAAGTATTTATGTTATACAACCAAAAAGAGATGCATGTTGAAACTTTCAAATAACTTTGAAATTGATTGTTTTTTTTTAAGTTTTACTGCCTGTCCATGTCAATTATGACTTTTTGTTCTATGGACATTTTCAAAGACAAAAGTGATGTACAGAAATATATTGCTTCTTGTAACACGTAGAAGATATGATTATGTGATAAAATGAAGGAATATTTTAAATTCATATAAATTCTGTCAGAGTTCAGTTTCTGAATTATGAAAAAGATAGAAACAATGCTTCATTCATGAACAATTATTGAAATACATTGATTTGTGTAACCATGATTTTGTCGTTTAAGTTTACATTTATATCCACAATTATTTTGAATTAATGTATTCACTCTGAACTTTGAAGTTTGTTCACAGCTAGTGGAGGAGTATGTATGATATTTTAAACAATGCCTATGGATGTCAAAATCTTGAAAATTGTTCTAACATTAAATTATTTTAAATATCAAAAAACTTTTATTTTTATATAAAATAATTTGAGTTATTTATTTAGATGTCCATTATAATCCCTGAAATTCAGTTTCCAATTTTGTTTCCAGACTGTATTAAAGCTGAACACGACTCGTAAATAGGCATATGCCATTTTCGTTATCATTATCTACGATACTTCAACACTAGGGTATACTCGTCGCATTTGTTACACCTGACTGCTTTATTGTCACGGGTATCGGCGTGGAATGGGGACCTGTCTTCGTGCTTGTTATCTTGCATTACCTTGGTTTACATTTTATTGCAGTTCATGTGTCTGTGTTTGTTTGTATACTGCACTGACCTGTAAAGCTATAATTGCAAGTTTCTTTGGTATCTAACATTCCTGCATTTGGCGAAGTATTACATCATTATTGTCGCCACCGAGTTCTCTATAACATACGTCCATCTACACCTCTATCGATTGATGTTGACTGGTTACACTGAACAGTGACTAGGTCCTGCCCTCTATATAGGGGTCTATAGGTATAGCAATTAACTAAACAACAAGAGGCCCATGGGCCACATCGCTCACCTGAGCACTGTGGCTAGGAAAGAGTAGAAATGGGTTTATAAATGAAAAGTTTTAATCCAAAAGTAGTCACATGACCAATCAGGGCTTTGCTATATTCTTGATAAGATAACTTTTAAAGAATTTTCCTATATATGTCTATGTTAAATTTTTTTGCCATTGAAGCCCCGCCCTACCCCCGGGGGTTATGATTTGAACATATTTGAATCTACACTACCTGAGGATGCTTCCATATAAATATGATCAATTATGGCTTCACAGTTATTCTGGAGAAGATTTTTAAAGAATTTTCCTATAGATATATTTCTATTTAAAACTTTGGTCGGCCCATTGTTGCCCCGCCCTACCCCCGGGGTCATGATTTGAACAAACTTGAATCTACACTACCTGAGGATGCTTTCATATAAATATGATCAATTATAGCGTTGTTATTCTTCAGAAGAAGATTTTTAAAAAATTTTCCTATATATTTCTATATAAAATTTTGGTCGGCCATTGTGGTCCTGACCTACCCCGGGGGGTCATGATTTGAACAAACTTGAATCTACACTACCCGAGGATGCTTCCATAAGCCATTGATTGGCCATTGTGGCCCCGCCCTACCCCGGGGGTCGAGATTTGAACAAACTTGAATCTACACTACCTGAGGATGTTTCCTCATAAGTGTCATCTTTCCTGGCACAGTGGTTCTTGAGAAGAAGATTTTTAAAACATACCACCAAATTTTCATTAATTCCCAATTATTTCCCCTTGAATGAGGGCATGGCCCTTCATTTGAACAAACTTGAATCCCCTTTACCCAAGGATGCTTTGTGGCAAGCTTGGTTAAAATTGGCCCAGCGGTTCTTGAGAAGAAGTCGAAAATGTGAAAAGTTTACAGACAGACAGACGGACGCCGGACAAAATGTGATCAGAAAAGCTCACTTTAGCCTTTGGCTCAGGTGAGCTAAAAATGGCAGACACATTCCTTTTACGAATCCTGTTCAGCTTTAATATTCAGTCCTTTTTCTACATGTACTGTTCATCTTAAATGCAAGAGTTTGAAGTTTTTATCATCAGAAAATAAATAAATCAGGAAAAAAATTCCCACCCTTATGTTTTTTATATATGAGGGTTGGAAAAAAATTTTTTCTGTTCTTTTTTTTTTTGGCTATGAAAACTTCAGTTTCCTGAGGTTCAAAAACAATTTTTGGAACAGGATTAATCCCAAATAGGATAGACCTCTAGCGAGGGGTACCAAAAGAACTGTAGTATAACATCATAAATCTTGGACATGAAAAGGGTAAAAAACGCCAGAGGTGGGATCAGGTGTCTAGAAGTAAGCATCCTCCATTGACCAGTCACAGTGGAACTTGGGTGAAGTTGATAAAAAACAAGAGGCCCACCTGAGTAACTTTGGCTATTCTAATCTTTCAATTAACTAAAGAAAATTTAAGGACGGAAGAATGACAGAGTGATAACAGATCTTTGCAGATCCCTATTGTGTAAATCAATGCCTCAAGTTGCTCAGACTTTTCACTGCATACATCTTAAGTTTTAGGACACCAAATTTAATATTCATAAAAACAGGCGAGCGGTACATTTCGATGAAACTGCTCTTCACCTAGCTTGTGTTTTCTGCCCACCTGAGTCAGGGGCCGATTGATTGGCAACATCACAGTTTTTACAAGTTGCTGTTAACCACTAACAACTATTATTCGCGATTCTTCAATTTGAAATCAATCCGCGCCGATTAATTTTCACGACAGAGGAATTATTTTTTTTACAAATACTAAGCCAATTAATTGGATATTCACAGGTTTAAGTAGGTGGGCGAAATCCTGAAGATTTCTTTCACTTGAATAATACCAGTAGTTGATTTACAGTAGTTCCAGAGCTCTATGAGATGTATTGATAATGACCCCCAAAACATGGCAAATACAAAACTTGTTTTAATTTTATCTACTTTTATTAAAGACCCTAGAAAAACAAGGGTCTAATATTCATTGTTTTAAGTACCATACAACCACAATATAATTCAACAATACAAAAACAAAGTAAATTTGATCATAGTAGTATGTCAAAAAAATATATATGGCCTTTCATTCATCTCAGACATTCTATATCAAACACACATCATGGATATTATACAATATGGAGGAAATGGGAATCATGACAAAAATATGAAAATTCATTCAAAATGCCGGCGCGCTCTCAAGTACAATCTTTCAACAAAGCAATTAACTTTCACGCATTATTCATTAGAGTTTTAGCATTCATTCAGATCAACTCACATTACATGTGTATTCACAATAAAGAGTAAAGTTAATTCACAGTAAAACATCTTTCTTTGGCTTTGTAACAATATATATGTTTTAAAAATCTGCAAATTGTTATTTTAAAAAAGAACAATTCAAAACAAAATAAAATGCCGATACAATAAATAAAAGAAATTTGTTCGAGTACATCATTGCAAAGAATACCCTAAGTGAGCTCAATATTAATGTCAAATTGCATATATAACAGCCCCCAAGGCTTAATATTGTGTAGAAAATGCATTATCTAACTAGCCTGGCCCCCAATTTCAATTTGTACAAAAACTCAGGACCTAGCACTAGGGAATGTCAACATATAATGCCTTTTCCATATTCGCCTTGACCTAACAAGCATTAATCTCAAGGCTGAACTATTTCTGTGTGACCTGTCCTTGACCCTGAGGTCAGATGAGCTAAATTTAGCC